AAAATTAAAGCCCCAAATTTAGCGTTATAAAAAGGAATTTTGGTATTTGTATGTTTGGCAATATTGGTTTAAATTTATTTGGGATCCATCAAGTGCCAGTATATATAAATCCCTCAGTGGTTTGATATCTGGTATTATCAGGTGGTCAAGGAGGGTAGGGGGAAATGAACCTGTGGTATTGAGCAGACCCCTTTCTACATGAGGCTGCTATCCTGAAAACAGAAGCACATTTTCTGATTGGATTCATCAAAAGCTAACATTAGAGTCTGTTGGCAGAGCCACTCCTGACTCCCAAGCATCTCTACCTCATAGCTAATGGCTCTCTGAACTAATCTCTTGGAGAGCTGGTGACTTTCCTTGTTTCTGGGGAAAATATAACAACAGTAAGCACTTATCTATGTCATTTTGACTAATGAGCTGATTTGAGCTTGGGGACACCGCTGTGATGCAAGGTGCATGGGAGCACGGCTGACCTGTTAAGTGGGTGAATCATCCACAATAATATCAGGGAAGGCCATTAAAGACTGCAGCTCTGCTCCTGATACTCCACAGTGAGAAAAGGCTGGCCTGATTCTGTTACTAACAGCACCCACTTTTCACATGTAAGTGGGCTGGAGCCCCACTTTATGTATAAGAAAACCAAGTTTCAGGAAAGTCACTGAGATCACACACAGCTTGTTAAAAAAAAAAAAGTATGCTTAAGACTCAATCTGGAAAAATAAACTACCATCCAAAAAAACAAAAGACTCAACCCAGGTTTTCCTTTCCATTAAAGCATGTTTTCTTCTCTATAAAACAATAAGTTGGTGCCTGTTTGTCTTTACTCTGTTTATGTTTTGCTTTGGGTTACGAATTTACACATTTGAAAGATATTCCTTACCAAGTCATGATTAAGGTACCTATGGAGAAATGAAAAATAACCTCCAACCTCTTGATGCTTTGGGCAAATGCTTTCTCCCCAGTGACCATCTACAGTAGGTCAACAAGGAGGCTGGCTTAGCAACCAGGAGGCTGGGTACCAGGTTTCAGGAACCCTCTTACATCTATATTTCAGGTCTAGTAGGCCCTCTGCTGGTTTTGTTCCAGAACTGCAAAATTCCCCATTTCTCAATACGTCCCTGGAGAGAAGATAGGAAACTTGCACCCTGGTGATCAGTCATCGTCAAAGTAAACAAACCTTTGGACGACCACATTATCACCAAGTTCCTGATTTTTAAAAGAGAGAACAGAAATGGAATATTTTCCTTGAGCTTAAGGGGAAGAAGTCTCAAGAGACCCAGATGTCAAATAGAATATAAATTCTATACTCATATACTTACTGATGCCAGATATGTTGTTGTTCAAAGTTGTATCCAGTTCTTTTCCAACCTCATGGACTGTAGCCTGCCAGGCTCCTCTGTCCATGGAATTCTCCAGGCAAGAATGATGGAGGGGGTTGCCATTTCCTTCTCCAGGGGATCTTCCCAACCCAGGGATTGAAGTGTATCTCTTTCATTATAGGTGGATTCTTTACCCTCTGAGCCACCTGGGCAGCCCACTGCCAGATATATTTAGTTTTAAAATATTTATTCGAATACACATTCATTCTTCAAATATTTACCAACTGCCTACAATGTTCCTGGGTATAAAGCAGTAAACAAAAGATGCGGCCTCGTGGAACTGACATTCCAGTGGGAAGACAGACAATAAACAAGCAAGGAAATAAATATTCATTATAATTTTTGTTTTAAACGCTAGAGTTTAAAAAATACAAAAAGGGCACCATGGCAGAGAATGGGGAGAGCTCCTCTGGGTAGCTGGGCAGGCCCCTCTGAGCGGATGACTTTGAAACTGCAGCCACACCAGCCTCTCCACTCTCATCTTGAGGTTTTTGCATTTATATTCTGGGTATTCTTCCTATAAAAATTAGAAAACCTTTCTCACTTGGTCCTTCATAACAAAATACTAAAATAAATGTTGACGGTATATGGAAGATAACCCAGGCATCTATCTGTCAGACCCCTGGGAATTAGCAGGAATGATCATCTGAGCAGAGACAATGCAAATAAACATGTGAGCTGAAACAATCATACACTCAGATGAGAAAATATTAGACCACGCAATAACTTAAATGCCAAAGCCCACAACAGGAAAAAAATCAGGCTTCCCAGTTTGTTTCCTCTTCCCTCCAAAGTCTTTGGACTATTTTCTCTGTTAGTTTGCATTCAAGCTGTAATAGGCAGAACTCTATGATGACCACTCCCCACCCCCCCCCCCCCCCCAACAAGATTCCCACCTACTGGTGCACACGCCCTGCAGGAATCCTCTGCCTTTGAGGGTGGGTGGGGCCTGGGAACGCAGTGGACTATCACTCTGTTGACAAATGAAGACAAAGGGACCATCACTCCTACAATGATACTATATGATGATTAGCAGGCTAAAGGGACATTCTCCCTCTGGCTTTGAGAAAGTAAGCTGCCAAGTTGTGAGAGGCTTACAAGCAACCTGAGGACCCCACTGACAGCCAACCAGAGAAAGGGGCCTTGGTCCTACAAGAGCAAAAAATTGAATTCTGCCAACAACCTAGATGCGTTCGGAAGAGAACCCCAAGGTCCAGCCAGGACTGCATCTCCTGTCAACACTGAGATTTTCAGCCTGATGAGACTCTGAGCCGAGGGCCCTGCTTAACCCAGGCCCGACTCCTGACTAAAGGAAACTCTGACGTAACAAGTGAGTACTGTATTAAGCTGCTAAATGTCTCAAAAATTTTACACAGTAACAAATCTAGAACACAAGCTGATATTCATACCTTCCACAGACACTGTTAGAAGAGATCCAACATGGCTATGACATCACACTGCACGCGCGCTAAGGCGCTTCATTCGTGTTCGACGCTGTGTGACCCTGTGGACTGTAGCCCACCAGGCTTCTCTGTCCTTGGGATTCTCCAGGCAAGAATACTGAGAGGGTTGCCATGCCCTCCTCCAGAGGGTCTTCCCAACCCAGGGATGGAACCCACATCTCTTCCATCCCTTGCACCAGCTGGGGTCTTTACCACTAGCGCCACCTGGGGAGCTCATGACATCACATGACCCCAAGGGTAATAAAAACAGTTTTTGATTCTGAATTGTTCCAAGCCACCCTTTCGTATCTCCATACCTTTTCATTTGCCATTCCCTGATGAATTCCTATTCAAACTTCAAAACCCAGTTCAAACATTGCTTCCTCAAAGAAGCATTTCTTTAAAGCCACCACCTCCATCTACCCCCAAGCAGAATAAGTTCTACTTTATTCTTCATATCCGTGGCAGCACCTTGCCTGTATATCTGTCAAAACACTGGCCCTGACAAGTAATCACCTCTCCTTACCCCTACTCCCAGACAAGAATCCTCTAGAACAGAGCGGTCTCAGCGCCTCTTGCATAGTGGCTGGCACAGAGCAGGTGCCAAACAGCTGGCTACCGAGCAAAGGCCAGCAGGCTCTGGATAAACACAGGCTGCGGATGGCCAGGGATTTGCTGTTTCTCTTCCGCACAGATGATCAGGCTTCCAGTATTAACGGAAACCTGGGAAACTGTCTCCATGACAACAGCTGGGTGACTAAACAGCACTTAATGATTAAAGGGGCAGATATTCACTGTCTTGAAAGAGCTGGTCTGAAATAGGTAGGTGTGTTTGAAGCCAGAGGTGGCAGCAGGTACTGGGCAGGATTTAGATTCACCCCAGAAGGGGTGGTGTGAAGCTCTGTCTGATTTATTCCCACCTCAAGCCCTATGCTAGGCTGGCATGCTTTTGATTCAAGTCATCTGCGTTAATCCACTCCCGAAGTCAAATGTCAGCCACATAGACAACAATCCCACGGAGTTAGTTTTACTCAGTGGTTTAGAACTATGGGTAACACGACAGAAATGAGAATCATATGTCAATATCCATATGCATTATGCAATATGCAATATCCATATGCAATATCCATGGCATTCCCTGGACCCCCAAGGCAGATAGTTGTTGTAAGAAATTATAGGCTCAGGCAAAATTATACAAAATTGATGCACAGGAAATAGCATTTGCTGGTTGTGTGTTTTGACAAAACTCAGAGAAAGAATTCACATGTTTTCTTCAGACCCACTCCTGTGCCCAAGCACCTGAGGCGCTCTCTTGTGTTCAAACAAAATTAACCATCCTCCAGCTTTAGGGCTCCACCTCAGTGGAGAAAGAGAACATTTAGAATCAGAGATATAAAACCAGGCATGGAAATAAGGCACCTGCTCTTAAGAGCTGCTCAAGACCTAGACCCCAATTTTCTATAAATAAAGCGCTAAGCAAAAAAGTACCACTTTCTAAGAAAAGTATTAAAACTATATTGCCAGAAACTCAGGGAAACTCAAGGGGGCAATGGTCTTACCACCATGAAACAATTAAATTAACATTCGCTATACTTTAAGATACCTTTTTAAGTTTTTGACCTAAACTCTTAATGCCAGTACTTCATTGGCTCCTTCTGGGTTTATCTGATGTCCTCCTTAAGAATCAAATCAGATCCTTTAGGTCCTATATTTTGAAGATCTTTTATAAATACTGGTGGGCAGTGGTTCAGAGGTAGGCAGCTGGGGATACAATTTCCCAAAGATCAGTTTGGGAGATGTGGGGTCTGGGTTCTAATCTTTTTTTAGTGACAACGCTAGATGTTTCTTCATTCACTTGATATATACTAATGTATCAGGCTTTGTGCTAGATGCTAGGGATACAGCTGTGAATTAGATAAGGTCGCTGTTATCACAGGACTTATATTCTTATGTGTCTGCATGTATATGCTGTATAGTATAAGAAGAAAGGGAAAACAGGGAGAACGTAGAGTTTCTTCAATATGTATTAATTATTTTACTGCTAATAGAAACTTCTAATAGTGGAGGACAGGGAAGCCTGGTGTGCTACAGTCCATGGAGTTGCAAACAGTCAGACACAACTTAGCAACTGAACAACAGCAATGATAGAAACTGCTATCTGGCAGAACACAGTAAATACCTTCGATACTCTGCGGGCCCACAAGGTTCATGGCCTGGTGAGCTGGGTACTCTACCCGTGGCCTGGCAATGCCCAGCTGCTCCATCACGCCATGGAGCAGCCTCTGGATGTCTGTTTCTGAGACCCGATCTGGGGTCCTTGGGCTATAAGCAGCTGTCGGAGTCCATCCAAACGTCAGCCATAACACCAGGCCAGACAGCATGGTAGAAACCATCCTGGAGACCATTTTTAACCTGCAGAAAAAAGACCACACATAGATCGATTGGCCACAATCGTCAACTGTGATGATGCAATCATGTGATCACTCCAGGGAGTGATTCAAGGGCCGCCCAGGGAGAGACTGCAATGAAAATTTTTAAGGGTTTGCTTAGGCCTTACGTGTCCACACTAACCAGGACATGAGCTGTGAGAAGGTGTTAAAGAAACAAAATTGTCTGAGATGGCCAGTTCCCTGTGTCCTCACGTCCTGGGAAAGACTAGACGATAATGGCAGTTCTGTCATTTTTTATTGTCCTCATAGCTCTCTGGAAGTTCTGCACCATTCCTCCTCCACCACTCTCTCCGGCTTTTAAACAAACAACAAAACTTTGCTTCCATCTTGAGAAAGGGAGAGGGAGAGTGACATCTTGGCTTTCCTCGTCCTGGGGAAGAAAAGGCACACGGTACAGAAGCACAGAGAGCTTGGGGCTGGCGGAAGAGACCATCTTAGCTCAGCAAACACGGAACACACCTGAGATCCTGAGTGGGGATGAAGATACAGCTCAGGCCTGCCCTGCAATCTGGGAAGGAAGAGGAGGGCTGCTTGCTGCACCACATGAGACCAGGGGGTCGTGGGCAAACGCCTCAGCTTCCTTCTCTGCTAAAACGGACGAGAAAATCATCTGTCTTTCAGGGTCACTGTGAGGATAAGTGTGGGAGCACATGCAAGAGCGCAGAGAACAGTGCTGGGCACAGAGACCCCCAGATTGCTGTTATTAAGTTGGCAATATTACCTCACTGTTCTGGAGGTTGGAACTGGGGGGATCGAAAGGTGATGAGAGAAAAGAGAACAAGTGAAAGAGAAGGTGAAAGTCGGGGGAGTCAACCTGTCCTGAATGTTGGCTTCTATGCAACCGCAAGCCTGCAGAACAAGAGAACAAATATTCACACAGATTCCTTCTGCAGCCGCTGGACCTTAGGGCGGACACCTCAGGCAGGGGCGCTGCAAACCCTCTTCTGCCCACCCTTCGCTGGGAGCCGGCGGAGATGGTGGCGGCGTGCATTTCTCCCCTGAAACGGAAATATTCATAGCCCCCAAATTCTAGTTCTGTAAAGGAAAGGCTTTTAAGAAGCCACTCTCAGATGGAAAACCTTGTTCTACAAAGAGCTGAGAGAGCAGAGCCCGCAATCTGACCAAAAGGCCAGAGGCAGGCACCCGCCTCTCCGGCCATCTCCGTCTTTCCCTCCCCGGCTCTGCACGCAGGATGTCTTTGTTTCATTTACACCCCCAGCCAACATCGTTCAGATTTGATGAGCTACCCAACCTTCTTCCTCCCGACTCTTTCCCCCTCATTTAGAGCCGACCCTCCGATTTTCCCACCCAGCCTTTGTCTGCCCCCAGCCTCTGGCTCAAGGATTTCAGCGGGACGCCCTCCCCCACCCCCTGCCGCGAAGAACCCGTCGGCCGGCGGTGGGCGTCAGGCCGAGGTCTGAGCTGGCATCAGCCAAGGACTCACCGAGCTGCAGACGGAGGAGCCTGCCGCGGTCTGGGCCTCGGCGGGGGTCGGGCGAGGAGCGGGGCGATCTGGGTCGCTCGTGCGTCACCTCCCTCCTCATCTTAGCCCCGCCCCGTCCCTCCTCCAGCAGGTGGAGGCTGCTGGCCAGGACTCCCCAGACGGCAACCCAGAATCTGGGGGCCTTTCGCCCACGCATCCCACATACACATCTCCCCGAGGCCCTCTTCCTCCGTCGACCCCTATGGAAGTAATTAACCTTTTCTCAAGCAATTATCTAAACAATGGGCTAGATTGCCTCCCCACTTCTTTCATTTTGCCACCTTTCAGCTTTTTAAACGTCTTTTCGCTTTAAGAGGAAACAGGTACTGGGGCACTGATAGGAGAGAGAAACAAAAGTTGAGGCCTTAAGAGCATTTAATGATGGCAGTGATCAGATATATTGAGTGCTTTCAGAAGACTTTTCATTGAGCAGGAAAATTATGGAGATATTTAATACAAGATGCTCTAAATTTCTGTTAAAGTGATAAACCAAAACCACATGAAAACCTCTAGGAATATTAGTTCTGAATGTTATTTCTAAACTTCCACACCAGCTATCAAGTAAGATTTCTTTTGCCTGAAGAGAAATCATACTCTGCACACTGGAAAACGTATCCATTTTTATTCTTTTCAAACACAAGAATTGAAATGTAAAACCATACGACGAATATAAGTATTTCAATTTCTTTCATCAAGACTGGGGATATTAAACTTGGAGTTAAATACTTGGAGATCCCCGAGGAAATACCTTGATGAGGTTAGAATCCAGAATTCTGTATCCTTGTTCTGTCCCCAAATCCATTATCATCTACAGCAACTTTATGCAATCAAGAGGGGGCCTGCAAAATTCATCCATGACCTTTTGGTTTGAAGCCAACCTCCTTCCTAGCACCTTTTCTTCCATGGATGCTCTTATGCTTCCAGCTTTTTATTTCAGTGCATGCTAACAGTGCAAAATAACAGATACATCATCCATTGGCTAGGCTTAAAGACCATGCTGGAGTTTAATATTTATTGTTCACACATAATGAGGGTTTTTTCCAATTCTAAATTTTACTTTAATGTTTCACCATTATCTTCATTTTGTGCCTGGAAAACCAGAAATGCCATTATAATTGACTGCCTTTGTGTTGAATGGAAATCTGACCAAAATACACTGTTCATGCTTCATGTGAAATTTTATATTTAAAAACAAAACCTTGTATGTTCTGGGCTTGATGATTTTCAGAAGCTTGTATCAAAAATTTTTAGTGATTTTAGAATGTTGCCAAGCTGTCTATTAAGTTCTGTGTATAACTGTATTGTCTGTTGCCCATAATAACCAAATTAATATTAGAGTTTTATTTACTTGTAAGAATAAAATGAAAATAGTTTTTGGAGTTACCACACATGCCCAGACTTTTAAGTATGTTTGTATATCATTTGATTAAATATCCCCATGAGATTAAAAACATTATATTGTATAAGAAAAAATGAAAACATGAATACTAAATCAAGGCTAAAACTCAACTTTCCCAACTCTCCAGTTACCACATCTCCAAGCTTTGCACCTTCATAATCCTTTACTCTGTACTGCAGCTTTCAGCTACCAAAAAATGGAGTGACATGGGTAGTTTTTTTTTTAATAAATATCTTTTATTATTAATGATTAGTCTCTCAGAAAATCCACTGATTCAGGTGATTTGTACAGTTAATTTCTTGTCTTCTTACTGAATTAGGCTTTCAATTCAACATTTCACCTACTCCCATGGAAATCAAAGGACATTAATGCATTTTAAAAAATAAAGTTAAAAAGAATTGCTTACAACAACAAACATCTCAGAATTTAAGAATATTTTCTGTACCACTTACTATTAGAAATACCATCAACAGAAATGCATACCTGTATTAAAAACCTGTTTTGATGTCAGATAAACATGATGTTTCTATCTATAGATTTTAGTCTTTATATAATAAGTAATACTTCCTGATTCTGATATAGGGTCAATTCCTAGGTAGTGATTATAGAAATAGGAAATAGCTTTTGAATAAGATGTACTGCTATCTAGGAGGACTTGGTAAAGCAAACCTCTGATGACTTCAAATTCCTCCCACACATTCATACTGCCTGGTTGTTTTGAGTGGTGTGCAGTGTGGTTCTGTTCCGCCCTCACCTTTGAATGTGGCATTCTAACACCTGACCTGCAAAATTATCTTTAGTGATTGATTCTGCATGCCTATTCCTTCTTCTAAAACTTAAATACACTCTATTGGTGATAGTATTCTGTCTTTAAAACTTTGCTATTTCTAATAATTTAAATATCAATTTAGATAGATTAGCTTGACAATTTGGATCAAATTCTAAAAGGTACTTTGAAATTCATTAGAGTCGCAGGCAAGTCATTTTCCAGAAAGTTATCTTTAATGTCTATACTAAATAAATAACATTTACACACATGACAAAACCATCACAGGTTCTTGAAAGAATCCAAGGTAAATGTACAGAGGCGCATCAATAACTTCAAAGTCTAAAACCAAGCATCTGCATACAAGCAATCACTTTGATTAAAATCTTCCAAGCTTAATTACTCCTTCTTAAAAAATGTTAAATTCTATATTGGACAAAACAGATACAAATGTATTTGTGCAAATTAACTTTAAAAATATAGTATGGCTTAAAAGTCATCTGTTATTTCTGCAGCCTCATACTATGTGAGCACACTTGAGTCATCGTCATTCTGCACCAGCCATTATTCTTAGTTCAAGGGAACACACTGTCACATCTATAGGCAATATAAACCTAATTACATCCAAAAGGAAGAAAGGATTAAAATGCTATTGAAGCAAATTAATTTCTAGGGATTTTTAAAGACACTGAACATTAATGGAATTTTAGAAATAAGATCTGCAGGGCTTATCTCTCCCTCTGTGTGTTGAGATTTCTTGGAGAAACTTCATCTGACTTAGGAGTAACAAGAAATCAGCACAACTCATTCCATTCTATCACACATTAAAAAATAAAATCCATCCAATTCTCAAAAATTAACTTCTTATAAACCCAGTCAACAATTTCTTTAAAAAAGTAAAGTGTAACCTCTGCTTTTAAGAGATCACAATAAAATTAAAGATAGCTTAAATATTGCCATAATTAAGAAAAACAAGAATTCAAGTTGCTTGTGCAATGAAATTAAATTCATCACATAACAATCATCCTGAGCTACAAACACATCATATTACCTTGCAAGTCATATCACCAATTGATAATTTTATATACATTAATGACAAGAACAACATTTACCAATTACAAGTCTACAGGTTTACTTGTTGGTAGTAGTTGAACTTTTCCAATAGGATTTTTTGGAGAACCTTTATACCAGATCCTCTCTTTTTCTGATGGTTTTCTAAGGACCCTGCTGCTTACGCTAGGGGGAATGACCTTATCATTACTTACAATAGATTTTACTATATCATGGTTTGTTAGATCATCCAAGGGAACCTTAATTTGATTATTAGATATCACTTCTTGTTTACAAACTCTGGTGGACCCAAGAGACGCATTCACAGAGTTTGGATGCCTCTTCATTTGTAAGAAAGATGTAGACGTTACCTCCATGCTTGATTTTGAAATCATATCAATATTTGACTGCTTGCAAGATGTAGACTTCTGTTCTCTAGGACCTGATCTGGTACATGGAAGGGAGGAATCTTTTGTCATAGTCATACTTTCTATACAAGAGGGAAGAGCACTCTCACAGCTCACTGATTTAACCAGAGGAGAAGCAGTATCACCAAGACTTGCTAATTTATGCCTTGGAGGAGGTCCACCATACTCCAACAAAGAATTGATTCTTCTCACTGACTGACGGACAGGCGTACGCTGAAACTTAAGAGGTGACTTAACTTTTGTCCTATTTGGTTCATTTAAAGAAAGTTTGTTAAACCACTGTATGTGGTCTGAAACCCTTCCATGCTCTGTCATTTGTAAACATTCAGAAACCGTTTCATCACGTGTTTCCACCAGTGACTGCTGTTTAATGATTCCCACAGGACTAGGTTTTGGCAGGTTTGTGCTACTGCACGTGCTCTGTTCCGAGGAAGAGGTGCAAGCCACAACCTCCCTAGAAGCTGTGTGTTTCAGTAAGTTCTCTTCAATCAAATTTTCATTATCCTTTAATTTAGTATTGAGGGTATCCCCTGGGGACTCTTTTTTCCTTACATGTTCATCACTGGGCAACTCCTGCTTGCTTAAATAATCTTTTGGTATATTCAAATGAATGTTGTTTTCCAGTTGTATCTTCATCTGAGTTGAGTAACATTTTATAGTGCCTTCTCTATCCAATTTTTGAGGCTGATGTAGTGAGAAGTCACTTTCTGAAAAGCGATTTTCATCATTACTGGTACGGTGTCCATTTGATTCTATCACAGTCAAATTAGTTTTCAAGAGATTTTTCTCTGGGTTACCTTTGGTAGAAGATGTTTCATTGAATTTTACTTTCTCCACATTAGTTAATGGTGACTGCTTGTGATTTATTAATGCATGAAGATTACTTCCAGATTCAGAAAATGCTTTCTGAATTCTCACCACAGTCTCTGTGGTCAGGTTATTTTCATCACCACTAAGAGAGCCGCCAGTTATGTTGTTATTGTGCGTACTGTGTGCATTAGGAGGGGTAAGCTCGTATGAGCTAACAGGGGACTTTTCAACCATCATATCAGGCTCCAAAGAAGAGTTCTCCACCTCAAGAGTTCCATCTATTGGAGAAGCTTCATTTCCATCTACTTCTTGAAAATCTGAATTACTAGGTCCTATCCAAGACATCCGGTAATCTGTTCCACTTAGTCGCTCTGGAGTTAGTAAGTTTTCCTCTGACTTACTGATCTTTTTCGAACCTAAAATAAAGCATTTCAGTGTTTTAAATTTATATTTAACTTACTTTTGAAATGTTATTCAAATACATGATAAATTAAATACTAAGCATTTAATTCCAATTTTAGATTTGTATTAAAAATAAGTGTTTATGATATATATGTATATGTATGGCTGAGTCCCTTTGCAGCTCACCTGAAACTGCCACAACATTGTTAACTGACTATACTCCAATACAAAATAAAAAGTTTAGTGTGGATAAAAAAATGACAAGTCAATACAAAAAGTAACTTTTTAATGTATAAATAGTAAACATTTTTGTATTTACATCGTAAAGATCCAATTGTTCATATAAAAATACACCCCAATTCAAATATTTTCACTATTCAAACATGAATTTTCAATTTGTAGAACAGTACTTAATACATTTTATCATTAAAAAAGCAACTAAAGGTTATATGTCAATTATCTCAATAAAATGGAAAGAAAACTAAAAAAAAAAATTTTAAAGTAGGTTTTTGGGGTAAAACTCTACCAATATCATGTAAACATACCTTTCTTTGTTAATCTTTCATCAGTATCTGGGCTAAAAAGCAGACCTGTTTTTACAGATTCAATCCTAGTTTTTAAACTTTGTTGATTTGCAAGTCGTCGACCAACATTTTCAGATCTTTTGACACCAGAACACTCATTCTGTACAGAAAAAATTGAAAAAGTTTTGGTTAAGAAATAAACCTTATTAATTCAAAATATTGAGACAAGCTATTGTTTTGTAGTTATCAAAATCATCTATAGCTAATTTTAAAAGGTAGATATATATAATTTAGGAATAATTTTATAGCAAACAATATATTTGCATGCATGCTGATGGAAATTATAAGCATTTGACTGGCTATTATGATCTAAAATAAAAACAGCCTCATACATTAATTAAAAAAAAATTTTTTTGTGGTGATTCTGTGCCCAGGACTGTTCACCAGAGTGAAAGAAAACAAAAACAGACCAAAATGTTACCCTCATGGAATTTACATTTCTGATGAGGAGATTTAGACCAGAGTAAGGCAGACAATAAATTATAATGTATATTATACAATACACAAAATGAAAAGTGCTAGAAGGAAAAGTAAAACAGGGTAAAAAGGATATGGAGTGGTGAAGGGTGGGAGTATAATTTTTTTGTGGCCTGGGGTAGGTACAATTTTAAACACATTGATCTGAAGATGATTTGTGAGTAAAGAAAACAGAGTGAGAGTCATGAAGGTATAAGGGGAATGAACATTCCAAGGAGAGGAAAATGCCACTGCAACCTCTAACGCTGAAGCAAGGTCTGGCACATTCAAGAAATCACAAAGAAGCAAAAGTGAATGAAGTCAGATGAGCAGGGGAGGGTGGTAGAGGAGAGCCCCAAGAGGGAGGCCAGGAACAGACCACGTGGAGCACTGCAAATCAGTGTAAGAACTTTGACTTTTTTTTTTTTCTGACAGTGAAGCGGGGAGCCACTGGAGGGTTCTTAAAAGAGGGGTGACATGACTTAACTCTGCTCTTTAGGGGATAATTTTGGCTCTAGTGCTGCAGCAAAGTAGAAGCAGGTAGTAGGAACTTTTTGTAGTAATCCAAGTTTTAAATGATATTAACTCAAAAGGTTAGAAATAAAGTGCTGTGAAAAGTGGTCAGTCTGGATAGACTGTGGAAGCAGAAGTTAGACAGGATTCCCTAATGGTTTAGATGGTACGTGTGAGACAAAGTGAGGGGTCCAGAATGTCTGCATGGCTTTCGGCCTAAGTGCTTGGAAGAATAAGTTGCCACAACTGAGATGGTGAAGACTACAGGTAGAAGCATGGGTTGGGGAGAGAGGGAGGAGTGGAGAAGTAACAGCAGTGAAGAAACGCATCTCAGGAGCTCTATTAAGATGTCAGTACCTCCCAACTGGGAGGTCAGATAGGTAAATGTTAAGCAGTCAGGTTGTCCAGGAGTGCAATTTGGGCTAGAGATACAAGTTTGAAGTCCTAAGTAAATACATGATATTTAGTTAGAGCTGATGATCACCTTGAGTGAGTGGAGTGAAAAAAGAAATCCAAGGGCAAAACTTTGGGTTCTCCAATATAAAGGAATTAGAAAATTAACTGGCAAAGAAGGAAGAAAATCAAAAGACTAAAATATCCTTGAAGCAAGGAAAGAAAATATGCCAAAGAAGAGCAAGTCATTAGCTGGGTTACATGTTGCTGATGGATTGAGTCCAATAAGGACTCATATTTGTCCACCTGTTTGAGCAGTGCTGAATTCATGAGTAATCTTGTGAGATATATTTCAGTGAGAGTGGGGATGAACACGTCACTGGAATTGATTTCAGGTGGATAGAAAAGGAGGAACTGGAGATAACTACTCAAGTGTAAATGCTTGGTATAAAGAAGAGTTGAGAACAGGGCAGTAGATGGAAGAGAGACAGGGTTGAGAGGGCCTTTTAGCATTAAGTCTTCAGCTTTACACTAATATAAATAGCAGCGAAATGGTGAAAGACACTTACTCCATCTTTGCTATTTTTCCCTAGATTAAATTTCAAACGAAGAGATCTTCGAACCTTTTCTTTACGGCTGATTTTAGGAGAGAAGCAGCCTGCTTTTCCTGATTCCACCCTAGAAAGAGTGAAATTAAAAACATCAGTTTACAGCATAAGAACCAGAGGAAATCCTACAAAATAAAGTTTGAAAGCCCAGAGCAAATCACACTGTTAATAACTGAATAGAGTAATAATTTTTTAGGTTTAAGATACCATACATGAACACATTGTATCTGCATAAAAAATGATCTTTCCTGTTGATCACAAGAGTTGAGTCACTTATAAACCAGAATCATTAGACTAGCTTTTTATATTAACAGGAAATTAAAAAATGACCCACATCAACATAAAATAGGATTTTAAACAGGCAAAATGGACTCAAATTAGGAATCTTTCTCGGAAGGATAGGCCCTAGATTAATAAGACTATAAAGGCAAAGGGGATTTAAAAAAATTATTATTCAAATATGATTCTCAACAGAAAGAGAAAATATTTTTTAAGTATATATATCAAATTTTTACCCAACCTGGATAACTTACCTGCAAACTTTTTTGCTTGCAAGCCTTTTACTTCGCCTTAGCACATTTGTATTGATCAAGTGGTTTCCACTGATGGCGACAGGAGAGAATGAACTCTGAGATGACCCTTCCGGGCTTGTATCACAGTGAACTATAAAACAACCACATGTGATAGACCACACATACTTATTTTCTTTTCAAAGTATAAAATATTAACAGCAATTATATTTAAAGTCTTAATTTCCATCCCTAAACAATAACAAAATCACATAATCTCTGGTTAGAATCCTCAAGGGTCAAATAACCCAAGTTAACTAAAAAAGAAAAAAAAAGCATCAATTTCTTTTTAGTTGCCAATTAAAGGTCAGATTAAACATTATTTTTATATTACAGTTTTACTTTAAACTCAATACTTATAACGGAGAGGTGGGCACTGCTGCAGTTTAGAGAAATAAGTTTTTGAGACAGACTGAGTTTGTCCACCACTTACTAAATGGCTTTAGGCTCTAAATTTGGATTTTTATGGTGAATATAAGTATTGCTATAATGTATATAAGATGTCTAGCACAGAACCTGGTGCATAAGATTAATTAATGCCATTATCAAAAATGAACTATTGAAAAGCAATTTAGTGTCTGAGTATGCAGTATGCATCTGGTAGCCAACCTGCTGTCTATCTGACTCCAGAGTGTAATTTGTCCAGTAATTTTGTCCAGTTTTTTTTGTCCAATTTGTCCAATATTTTTGACAAAAACTGACCCATAATACACATCTAACCACAAGGTTACTGCCATGTTCCATGCTAACAACTGGAGGTTACAAAAGCTCATTTTGCTAAAGTTATTTAACACTATATCATGAAACCAACTATAATGAAAAAAATTAGGGGAAAAGTATTATGAGTTATGTGCAAGGCTCCATATAGATTTGACTTGTATTTGAATATTGTCCAGGATACACTCAGTGAACATGAACCCTCTAAACTTCTCACTGGTATTAATGAAGAATTTACACAGATCCCCAGAATTATCCATTACCGTGACTTTTTGGGTGCATTTGCCTTAAAAAAAAAAAAGGTTGGAGGCAATACGATATATCAAATATGACTCAGGAAGCTTTATTCTAGGGTCAGGAGCTTGGAGAGAAGGATGTTTGTTTCCTGGGGAAGATATTGTATTACTAATAAACAAAGGCAAGAAGAACTCCGATGCACATCTGCCATTTGGAAATAGTCCTTCAAAGTGGAAAACTCTCTGAACATCAAAAATATACTAAGGTAAGGTTTATGTCTCGGAAGAACTGCAGACGTAGCTTCAGAGTTCTTATCATTACACTCTAATGAGCCACAGAGAACCCGAAGGACTACAGAGAACAAGCTGCCAGCCTGCTCACCTTTTAAAATAAAACAGACAAGTGCGATGTAAAGCTTTTGGATAACAAACAAAACAGAGACTTTTGGGAAGAAGACCTCATAATCCAGCTAGCAAATTAAAGTAGAACTCTTAACATTGTCTGAAAACAAAGAAAATCTAAAGGAATCTGAGACCACTCACATTTTGACTAAATGTGAGACAAATGTGAGATGGAAGACTCTGGGCTTAGAGCTTCATTTCATTTTGGGTTGATCATAGTTTAATATGAGCCAACTTGTATTCTACACATACATGCTAAAGGAGCCAAGCCAATCCAAGATCACACTAGCAAAAACCTGGTGTTCAAATTAGTGTGATTTTATTTTTCTCTGGAGGCTCTGGCTGGCCACATTAGGAGCTTGCAGTTCATTCAGAATAAAATGATGGAGCTGGTAAAGGGACGTGGAAATCATGCCATAAGGAATGGTGTTAAAGCTCTTAGGGCTTTTTAAAAAAGCTACTTGAGTATAAAACTAAAAATACTACCCGTCCCCAACTAAGCCACAATGATTACATTAATGGTACCCCCACTCTGATTTCAGAGACACTCAAATGCTGGTGACCTCAATTCAACAGAAGGCAGCAATCTAGTCACAGCCATAGATCCAGAAGTAACTAAAGTAGAATTCAGGATATTCAATCAGGTAAAACCTGAGCGCCAGTACTATTCCTATTCACAGTGACCTATAGCTTTCAACAGGCAAGGCAGTAAAACACATACACACATTAATTATATTGAACCACACTGTCTATTTTAAAAGTTAGGGGACTTTACAAAATCTAGAGATTTGATAAAACAGAGAATAAAATCTGCCTCCTAAAGGAATTATTATGAAATAGCACTTTGTCCAGAATAAGCACCCATGTTAATGTTTATAATCCAGTTATACAAATTCTATTTGTTACCTGATACTGGTGTAGAACTGCTATTGAAGAGATTACTTGGCAACAACTCAAAGTTAAAATTGTGCTTGATGGACTTCCTCTTCTTACTTGAGAAACCATGAGAATCTACCGGCAGTTTACGCTTAGCATTTGGTGTAAGAACTGTTGGTGAAATGGATAGCTGGGCTGAAAAAAAAAACAATTTGTTTTTTCTCCCAGAGTTGATAAAATACAAACACTTCATCTAATTTCTTCTTATAAAGCTATTACTTAAAACTAACCAAAAGTGGAGGGATGTTTACATTAGCATTATCAAAAATACATTAACAACTAAATTAACAGTATGCAATTACTTAAAATAAAAAGTGAAGTTGTAAACAGGCAAGATTCTTAGTAACAGCTGAAACAAAAACTAATCTAAATATTTTTGCTTTTCATAACAACTATTAACCAATTAATGTCTTCAATCTGGAAAATGAAACAATCAAATTTTCTATTACCATGTTAAATAATTTTAGCCACAAGCAAATCAAAATAAAACACTGGAACAAACACTAATAATTTTCTGGTTCTAAAATAAAAATGAGATTGAGTTTTTCAGTCTCACATGCTCAGTAGCATCCAACTTGCAAATGGAAGAACATGACTTAGAAGATCACAGATATAAAACAGACTAAAATATTGTATACGTATGACTGGGTTCCTTAGCTATTCACCTGAAACTATCACAACACTGTTAACTGGCTGTACCCCAAAACAAAATTAAAAGTTCAAAAGAGAAAAAAAGAAAATTAAAAAAAAAAACACAGACTAAAATATTCTTACCTATAATATTTAGGTTCAACATATCCACTGTAATTATACATGTAATCACATATATATTCAATGTCATAATACAGTATTATAGTACAAATCTCCACTAAAAATTACACTTGGAATAAAATTACACTTGGTTAAATAAAATAAATCAGGTAATTATCACAATTAATTTCTGTATAATATACATGAAAGTGTGAAACTGTTAGTTGTTCAGTCATGTTTGACTCTTTGTGACCCCATGGACTGTGGCCCACCAGGCTCCTTTGTCCATGGGATTCTCCAGGTGAGAATACTGGAGTTGGGTGCCATTCCCTTCTCCAGGGGGTCTACCAGACCCAGGGATAGAACCTGGGTCTCCTGCAGTACAGGCAGATTCTTTACCATCTGAGCCAACAGGGAAGCCCATAATGTACACATATAAATGTCCAAGTAAATAAAAATATATAATACCTACCAATTCTTTCCTGTTGAGGTGTAATAGAAGGTGTCCTGTTAGATTTAAATTTATTTAATGCTCCACTAACAAAATCTGAAATGCAAGGCATATATAATCATATAATCAATTATAACAACATTTACCTATCTTTCATCAATAATTCATAAATAAACAGGAAAACATTAAATACAGAATGAATTGTAAAACACGTAACTAAAATGTATAAAATGCATACAATGTATAAAAGAGTACAGAAGAGGGTATCATTATGTTTTGAGGAAGGGAAGAAATGGCACCAAGAGAGAAAGCTTGGAAAGGGAAATAAAACCTTGTAGGTGTTGATTAGGTAGAAGGTAGAATTCAGGCTAGGTGACTAGCATATGCAAAGGCATGTAAGAAAAAACAGAATTTATGTATACTAGAAGCGTTTGATACAGCTAGAGCAACTAGTGAACTGTGGATATGGTTAAGAGGTTAAGTCTTGTGTGTAAGGAAAACAAGGCTACATATAATTTTGAAGAATCTGAACTTCTCCAAAGGGAAAAAGGAACAAAACCATCATTTTTGCACTTTGACAGCAGTATGATAGATTAGTTGGGGGTAGGGTGTATGTATGTGTGGGGGTGTGTGTGTGTAGGCTTCCTTGGAGACAGGCAAACTAGCTAAAGGTTCTTCTAAGTATTTTATTCAGTCTTTCAACAAATATATATTTTGTACCTATTATGTGTCAGACACAATGAAGATACAACAGTAGCCAAAATATGAAACAGTGACCTTTATGAAACTTTCTATTGGAGGAAGCAAACATTAAATATAATAAGCAAATAAACACCTATCGAAAAATGGTAAACAGCGTGAAGTACAAATATTAACAACAGATTTAAATCGTGGAGGTATCCTTGAGGAAGTGGTGTTTCAGGTGAGACTTGAAGGAAGAATGGGAATTAGCCAGGCAAGAGATGAGCCTCTGAACTGAGGTAGGTCCTATGGATACAGAGGCAGTAATAAAGGTATTTACAAGATCAGAGTGATAAGACTTGGTAGACAGTAGGATATGGGAATGAGAAAAGAGCAGATAAGGACACAGAATTCTAATTTTGATGACTAACGACAAGCCAGGACAGACTGGAATGACACGACATACTCAAAATACTGAAAGATAAAAACTGCCAGCTATATTATTCAGGTTAGCAGGAGAAATAGCTCCCCAGACAAACAGAGTCTGAGGGAGTTCATCAGTGCTACACCTGCCTTACAAAAATGCTGAAAGGAACTCTTCTACCAGAAACAAAAGGCAAAAGTAAACAAAGCTTGGAGTAAGAGGATAAACAGAATCAGAAAATTGCAACTCTGTATCAGAATAAGTTGTCAAACAATTCTATATTAAAGGTTAAAGGGAAAAAAGCAGTAAAACGGTAGCTACTTCAATTTGGTAGTGAACACACAACATAAAGACATAATTTGAGACAACAAAAACACAAAAAAGAAGCGGAAAAGGATGACACTCATGTAAGCAAGTGAAGGTAGTAAGATGCTACTAGCAGAAAAAGGACTATTTCACCTACAAGACAATTGGTACCGGCTTCACAGTAGCCACAAAATATAAATCTAGAGCAGAGACACAAAGCATGAAAGGGAACACAGAAAAACACCACAGAACAAAATGGAAGACAGAAACACAAAGAAAAAGAAACAATGGACAAATAGAACAACCAGAAAACAGTTTTAGTTTAGGCAGTACTAAGTTTTCACCTGTTAATAATCACCCTAAATGTGAAAGTGAAAGTGCCAGTCACTCAGTCAAGTCTGGCTTTGCTACCCCGTGAATGTATGTAGCCCGCCAGGCTCCTCTGTCCATGGGATTCTCCAGGCCAGAACACTGGAGTGGGTTGCCATTCCCTTCTCCAGGGGATCTTCCTGACCCCGGGATCAAACCCAGGTCTCCTGCACTGCAGGCATATTCTTTACCATCTGGGTCACCAGGGAAGTCCAAGACTACTGGGATGGGTAGCTATTTCCTCCTCCAGGGGATCTTCCCAACCCAGGGACTAAACCCAGGTCTTCTGCACTGCAGGCAGATTCTTTACCGTCTGAGTCACAGTGTACATGGATTGAATTCACTGATCAAGATACAGAGTGGCTGAATGGATTAAAAAACAAAACCCAACTATACACTGCCTCCAGGAGACTTACCCCAGCTCTAAAGATAGATACAGGCTCAAAGTGAAGGGATGGAAGGTGATACTCCAAGGAAATGGCAGCCAAAAGAACGTGGGAAAATGGAGGTGTATGTATGTGCTCAGTTGCTATGCCGTGTCAGACTCTTTGCAACCCCATGGACTGGAGCCCACCAGGCTCCTCTGTCCATGGTATTTCCCAGGCTAGAATACTGGAGTGGGTTGCCATTTCCTTCTCTGGGGAATCTTCCTGATCCAGGGTTCAAACCCACACCTCCTACATTAGCAGGCAGATGCTTTACCATTGAGCCAGCAGAGAAGCCAGAAAGAGTCCAGAAATAAACCCATATATACATATATGGAAAATTAACTTATGACAAAGGAATATAAAATGGAGAGAGAGCAGTCTTCTCAAAAATGGTGTTGGGAAAACCAGACAGTCACATGCAAAAGAAGGAAATTAAACCACCGTCTTACATTACAGACAAAAATCTTATCAAAATGGATTAAAGGTCTGAATGTAAGATCTGAAACCATAAAACTCCTAGAGGAAAACATAGGCAGTAGCCTATGTGACATCAGTTTTATGAAAGGACAATCTACTAAATAGGAGAAGATATCTGCAGATCACATATCTGATAAGCGGTTAATATCCAAAATATATGAAGAACTGATATAATTCAACAACAACCACCAAAAAAAACAAACAACTCAGTCAAAAAATAGGCAGAGGAACTGAACAGACATTTCTCTAAAGACACACACATGGCCACCAGGCACATGAAAAGATGTCCAAAATTATTAACTATTAGGGAAATGCAAATCAAAACCACGAGACACTACCTTACAACTGTTAAAATGGTTGTTATCAAAAAGGCAAGAAAGAACAAGTGTTGGAGAGAATGTGGAGAAAAGGGAACCCCCATATACTGTTGGTGGGAATGTAAATTGGTGCAGCCACTATGGAAAACATTACAGAGACTCCTCAAAAAAAATTAAGAATAGTCGTATTCATTATATATGTACATACTACATCTTTATTATTCATCCATTGATGAATACTTAGGTTATTTCCTTATCTTGGTTATGGAAAATAATTCTGTGATGAACATAAGGGTGCATATGTATTCTCAAATTAGTGTTTTCATATTCTTTGCATAAATACCTTGATATGGGATGGATCATAAGTATTTTGTTACAGAACAAAGAAGGTACAAGGAAAATCTACAAGGAAGGCAAGGAGAAACAGAAGGTGGGAATGCCATACAAGCCAAAAGATTCAAAAAAGCAATGGGATAGTTAATAGCTTATATTTTTTTATGTTGAAACACATTTCAGGCAAAAGCAAATTGCCGTGCCTCCACATATGGGACTGCCATGACCACTTACCTCCTACACTTTGTCTTCGTTTTCTCTTATAGTCACCAGGAGTTTCGTAATCACCTTCTTCAAAGCCTTCTAGCGATGGAGTAGCACAGAGACCATCAATACCTAACATCGCTGGTATCTTTTCTAGGATAAAATCTGGAACATGCCCTAAACGAAAATGCTCACAATCAAGATTTTTCCTCTACCCACCCCTCAAAATGTTTAAATAGTACATAACCACTTCCTAACAGTTGTCTTGGTGGCTCACTTAGAAAAAGCTGGGATCTCCCTCATTTAAACAAATTCTGTTACTTAAGAATGCAACTACATCTTACCGATATCTGATGCATAATCAATAAAAGTTTGTACTACTGCAGCCTGTAATCGTAGCTTTTTTTCTGTGTTAGCAGACATCTTTTCATGTCCTTCACTTGTCTGAAGAAGATTTGGTGCAAATATTACAGCAAGATTGCTGCTATCCATCTTATTCTCACTGGACCTTAAATGAAAAAAGTTTTATAAGATGCAGTCAAAGATAAAAATACAGAGTTAAAATAACACTGAGCACATTCTGAAGACCTCTCACTTTACCAGTTAAACACAAACCAAGATACAGTTACCCCTCACCTACCCATCTACATGACTGACTTGAAATAAGACAGAAATACACAGCCTCCGTGTGCTTAAATATATGTCATGAAAACACTGCTACCCCTAGAGTCCACACTTTTCTTCCCCACACAAATTGAACACATTTCTTTGGTTTTCACATACAGAAAATTCAAAGTCACTGAAGGCAGTAAGTATGTCTAGAACAAACAGGCTCAATGACAGCCAGGAGAAGGGACAAATTGAAAAGCAAACCACAAATATTTTAAAAACATAGTAATCATTAGAAGCCATTTAATGGCCTCAGAATCCTATAACACTAATAAGCCATTAACGCATTCACAATGGCAACCCCAAGACAGCAAGGAAATATTACATATTTTTCATTTTACAGGATAAACTTCTTATAGTAAGGAAAAATATAATATTTTTAAGAAAAAATTCTATTCCAAATGAAATCTATTATCATAAGGGTAAATCTAGCTAGTTGAGAAATTAAACTGTCATCTCCCAAAAACTTTTATTTACTACTTACCTAAGAGAAACTTTCCTGAGAAACTTAAAGAAGTATCTTAATATATCAATTGTGTGGTCAGCCATAAGACAGGAGAGCAACAATGTAGCTTTATTCTTCTCCTCTGTTTTTAATTGTTGAGCTTTGAAAAGTGCTTCATGCAAATCAGTTGGGAGAATGGGCTCTGGTAATTCTCTAAAAAACTGCTTCAGAAGTCCCGCGGTATCACAAGGAGGTGCAGAAGACAGGCATCTTTCACCATGATCGAGTTTATTCTAAAATAAATATAATCATTTTGAGCACTCTGGGGCTTGAGGGTTTAACGCAAATAAAGTATCCTTCCTTATACTCTAAAGAGCTTTCTTTAATGAATTTCTCTCAACTCTTGTTTTAGTATATATCACTACTTTTTAGAAGGCTAAAAACAAAATTTTAAATGAACTTTCATTTCCTATAGTACACAGGGACAAGGACCATGAGTTTGAAAGTACTATGAAAATTTTAAAGCATTATATAAATAGCTTGGTTGTGAAAATCATTTCACAACATATATGTATATCGAAACATCAGGTTGTACGCCTTAAATATATTTGTCAATTATACCTCAATTTTTTAAAAAAAGGATTATATAAACGATACACACTTTTTCTTCTGTCATGAAAAAAGCTATTTTCAAACTCAATTTCTGTCAATAATTCATGTACTAATTCTAAATATTTCGATCCTAAAAACCAAATCAAAGAGGGGTACAAATATAGTTCAAGAATATGCTTACCTTTAGTGCTTTTAGACGAATAACAGATCCCGATTTCCTAAAAAGCCCTTCTGTATGAACATGCTCTTCTAAAGACGTGCAAGCATCAACAAGAAAACTGAAAGACAGAACTCTTTTCAGGTGGCAAGATGCACAAATCCTCTGCAATCAAACTCATCCCCATTACTCCATCAAAGTCACTAACGGCCTCTGCCTTGTCAAATCCAGAGTCAAGTCACTGTCTTTATCTTGCTTGATACTTGACCACTCCTGATGATCTTGAAAATACTCTTTTTCACTACACTTACTTCCTGCTGTCTGCCTGACTGCTCCTTCTCAAACTTCTTTTCTTCTTCTTTTTCTGCCAGACTTCTCCATCCTAAGATCACCCAGGGCTCCAAAGCCTTCTTTTCTTTACCTATTCTCTTTCCACAGGTGATCTTGCACAACACACATAGCTTCAAAAACCTAGCATCTGCACATTTGCTCAAAAACCTAGCATCTGCACATTTGCCCAAAAACGAGGGAAGGTTTTTTTCCCCTCATCAATATTACCTCTCAGAAAGTCAGATAAATTGATCCCAGTCCTTACAACCCTTCTCATGTTTTTTAGAGGTGTGTGCTCAATTTCTTTATACTGAATAATTTTTAACAATCAATATTGGCTTTATATGCTTAGTTAACAGCTGATAACACAAATTTGAATGGATGTCAGCGGCAAGAAAATGAAGGCATTCTACTGATGCAGAGTGGCTGAATGTTGCAGAGTTACTGACAGAAAAGTTTTCTTTTTAAAAAAGCAGGCAATATATATGGAATTTAAAAAGATGGTAATGATAACCCTATATGCAAAACAGAAAAAGAGACAGATATACAAAACAGACTTTTGGACTCTGTGGGAGAAGGTGAGGGTGGGATGTTTGGAGAGAATAGCATTGAAACAAGTATACTATCAAGGGTGAAACAAATCACCAGCCCAGGTTGGATGCCTGAGACAAGTGCTCAGGGCAGGTGCATTGGGAAGACCCAGAGGGATGGGATGGGGAGGGAGGCGGGATCGGGATGGGGAACACATGTAAATCCATGGCTGATTCATGTCAATGTATGGCAAAAACCACTACAATATTGTAAAGTAATTAGCCTCCAACTAATAAAAATAAATGGGGGGGGGGGGAACAGCACGCAAACAAATTACAACAAAGATTTAGTCATTATTTCTAGGGACATGGGGCTTCACAGGCAGCACTAGTGGTAAGGATCCCGCCTGCCAATGCAGGAAACATAAGACAGGTGGGTTTGATCCACTGGTTGGGAAGATACCCTAGAGGAGAGTATGGCCACCTACTCCAGTATTCCTGCTGGTATAATCCCATGGGTAGAGGAGCCTGGCGGGCTACAGTCCACGGGATCACCAAGTCAGACACGTCTGAAGTGACTTAGCATGCACACACACACTAGGGTTATGACTGCAATTCTAAATGTTAAATATCATCATAAAAAAGCCTTTCATAGGCCATCTAAAAGGCAAAATACTAAGTGGTTACCTCATGAAGACTGTGAATCTACAGTGTGAGTGAGGGAAAATTGTCCTAAGGCAAAAAGGTGTTCAAAAGCTTTTGGAGAATGCATCAACTAAAAACTTAGGTTATTGGACAATAGTAGCCACAATGAACCCTATTTTGGATAGAAGAGAAATGAATTAGTAAGAGCTAAGGTAGTTTGTTTATATTACGCACTTTTAAACTATTTTCTTAAGACGTAAACTTCCCTAGTAATTTCTGATGCAGTTAGTCCAAAAGGTTATTTACAAACAGTGACATAAAAAAGTTCAAAGGTTATATAATTTACATTCACAAATACCCCAAAAGCTTAAATATTCTTTTATCCAACATGTCTAAAACAAAAAATAATAAAAATTATAACAGAACTTATAGTTTAGTATATCACTGAGTATAATCAGAACAGCAGTGAAAAGACTGAGAGAGAACCAAAAATTCTTGTTTCTAACATTTATTCATTACTGAACCTTAAAATTCAATCATGAAAATGAATACAAATTAAAAAGTTAAAATATGCAAAATTTAAAAAAACAACTTTTAATCTGAGTAAATGTTGAGAAATAAAATCATTTGCTAATTCCAACTAATTGTGTGCATCAATTAACTATTTATTTTCATACATTCAAATAGTAGTTTGAAATATTTACTCGTCATTTCAAACTTTGCTCACCTTGGAATATGTCCATATTCTGGTACAACGGACTGGGGCAATGCATTTAATGGTACTCCAAATATTTTACCCTAGAATGACAAATTCAGTTACTCTAATACAAATATTAGGCTCAATATAAGCTTTCTTAAATATTAGGTAAATTAAAAATTTCAAAAAATAAAACAAGATAGCAGAAATAAACTATTAGTCAAGACATAGAAAACAATTACATCAAGATTTGTTAAAAAGTAACCACTGTATACAAAGATACTAGGTGCTGGGAGTACAAAAACAGTCACTTTGCGCTTAAGCAAGGAAGCAAATTCCCTGTTTCCAGTCCCACAATGGAAAATCAATCCATTTAGTGTTCAGCCAGGAAATTCTTACACAGAATTTGGCCCAAAATACTAACATTTCTGGAAATACTACAAGCTCCTTCAGTAACTACATATAAACACTGACCTTAAACTTTCTATTGGTCACCTTATAAACATTTACTAACTTGAACAGAAGGACAAATCGACTGATCCGACCCAGGGATTGAACCCCCACATCTCTGGCGTCTCCTGCATTGGCAGGCAGAGTCCTTACATTGCGCCACTTGGGAACCCTTTCCACATTACTGGAGAGTACTAAGCACACTGCTCTGGATATCGAAGGAAAGGATTTTGTGAACAATTTAAATTTTATTTCACACTTTGAAAACCATTTTTAAGTCACAATAGAATGTATTACATTCAAACTTTAATTCATTTGAAGATCCCAAGAGTATATCCACATGTTGATTGAGTATGCATACCTCTGAATAAAGAATCTACCACTATCTTTGGGCATATATTCACACTTTAAAAATGAGTCACTATTTAAGAAGCCTGTAGCAATACCTTGGACTTGAATTTATTTTTAATTCAAGCCTGTACATGTCTGCTTATATAAAATTAGATTAAGTGGGCACACCTAATCACATATATGTTAATTTATTTTAGATACATCTGCTCTCCCTGAATGCTCTTGAAGCACTTAACATTTTTAAAGCATATTTTAACATTTAACTTTTATAAACAATAATAAATCATTCAGGGAATTTCCTGGCAGTCCAGTGGTTAGGACTCACTGCTTTGAGTCAGGGTTCCATCCCTGGTGGAACTAAGATCCTGCAAGCTGCATTACATGGCAAAACCATTCACATTAATGATCTGACAAAATCTTACTAGTCCTTTTTCAAGCATCTGGTTTAATTTAATTGATGAATATAGAAAAGAGCAACGGAGTTCCAGAAAAACATCTACTTCCACTTCACTGACTATGCTAAAGCCTTTGACTGTGTGGATCACAACAAAATGGAAAATTCTTAAAGAGCTGGGAGTACCATACCACCTTACCCGTCTCCTGAGAAACCTGTATCAGGCCAAGAAGCAATTGTTAGAACCGAACATGGAAAAAACTGGTTCAAAATTGGGAAACGAATATGACAAGGCAGTATGTTGTCATCTGCTTATTTAACTTCTATGCAGAGTACATCATGCGAAATCCCAGGCTGGATGAATCAATCACAAGCTGGAATCAAGATTGCTGGGAGAAATATCAACAACCTCAGATATGCAGATGGACAGGGAGGACTGGAATGCTGCAGTCCATGGAGTCAAAAAGAGCTGGACATGACTTAGCGACGGAACAACAACAAAAGGGGCAGAGCAGAAAAGAGAAACAGAGATCTGAACCCTGGGGAAGATCCACACTTAAGGAATAGAAGAAAAAGGGAGCCGATGAAGTAGACAGAAGAGGGGTGGACAACTAAACAGTAACAACAACCACTCTGATGGCACAAAGTGAAGAGGAACTAAAGAGCCTCTTGATGGGTGTGAAAAGAGGAGAGTGAAAAAGCTGGCCTGAAACTCAACTTTTAAAAACCGAAAGATCATGGCATCCGGTCCCATCACTTTATCGCAAATAGGAAGGGGAAAGGGGAAGCAATGACATTTTATTTTCCTGGGCTACAAAATCACTGCAGATGATGATTGCAGCCATGAAATTAAGACACTTGCTCCTTGGTAGGAAAGCTATGAAAAACCCAGACAACATATTAAAAAGCAGCAATATCACTTTGCCAGCAAAGGTCCGTCTAGTCAAGCTATGGTTTTTCCAGTATTCATGTACGGATGTAAGAGTTGATTCACAAAGAAGGCAGAGTGCCAAAGAATTGATGCTTTCAAGTTGTGGTGCTACAGAGGACCCCTGAGAGTCCCTTGGACTGCAAGGAGATCAAACCAGTCAATCATAAAGCAAAGCAACCCTAAATATTCATTGGAAGGACTGATGCTGAAGCTGAAGCTCCAATACTTAGGCCACCTAATTTGGAAGAGCTGACTCATTGGAAAAGGCCCCAATCAGGGACTAATTTCCCACATGCTACAAGGTGCAGCCAAAAAAAACTTTAAGGAAAATAAAATTATGTTAGTATAGGCAATCCCTTATTTGGGTAAATCAGAATTTTCTTGATACTACACAATTAAACAAAATGCAAAAATAAATCATATGCTGAAGCTGAAGTTTACAAATGTCATACATACCTAGAATTCAGAGTAGGTGTTTTTTTTTGTTCATTACACACAATAATTGACTTCACAAATAAGTGCTATAATTTAACCTCATAAAACTAATAACATGCTTTTAAAATTTAATAGAACACCATTTACAATATCATCTTTAAAAAGATGCCTAGCACTTTTCATAAAGAGCTCAAAACTCTCATTAGAAAATAAATACCAAAGAGCTAAAGAAATCTAGTATTTAAATAATTACCTAACATGTTAGATCTCATAACACAATGATCTTCTGTATTTCTCTACTTTATTAGGGTTTCTAGCATGACTACTAATTAGAATGTAGACCTCTGATTATCATAACAACTGGATGAATAAATAAGTGGCATGCGACAGGCACTGCGTGCTAGTCTTATCTACAAATCTTATTTTTTAACTCCCCCAAACAACTCAAGGAGAGGTACCATTCCAATTTTATAGAGTAGGAAACCGAGACTTAGGACAAGCAGCCCAAGATCACACCCCAAATAGGAGGAGAGCAGGAATCAAACACAAATCAAAGTCTATCTGACTCTAAAAGCAAAGTGTCAGCTTTCCTTAGAGGTAAGAAAAAGAAAGATGCACACAAATTCTTTCACACACTTACAAACCTACTTTATTTGAGATCTTAAAAGAAAGTACCATGTAATTAGGTGTGTGTATATATAAGGTATATATTTATATTTATATGTAAATATAAAACAAAATCCTTATATGCAACTTAATTTTTCACAATGAAATTCTTGAGGATTCTGTACAAATATTAAAATTTCATTCAAAATCCCCTTACCTCAACCACCCAAAAATCAACTGCTTCTGAACTATTCCACCGTGGTTTCTCAATTTACTCATTTAAAGCCTATTCCTAATACTATTACATCTCCTCATTTACTGATTCATTTAGAAAATGTACTGGTATCCCTTGTCCCTCTCCAAATACTACTCAACAGTGGTGAAAGCGTGTCTCCCTCCCCACGTGTGACTTGTTCAAAATACTAAGTTGGCAATTTCTGGAGACATTTTTAATTGTCACAATTGGGACACGCTATTGGCCTCTCGTGTGTAGAAGCCAACGCTGTAAAGATCCTATGATGTACATGACAGCTAGCCCCTAGGCCCCTCAAAGAATTATCTAGTTCAAAATGTCAATGTTGCTGCGGTTGATACACTTAAACATATTCTTTTGGATCCATACAGAAAGAATATTTAACATGAACATTTAACATTTAGCGATGGTACAGAATGCGCCCCCGCCCCGTTTTAAAATCTAAACCTCTTTCCCCAGAACTTACCACTATTTCCGTGGTTGCTGTTTCCTGTCTCCTGCGATCGCTCTGCGCCCGGCCACCCTTGACCTTAATTCCATAGGCAGCCCGAAGCTGCTGCACAACCGCCAAACGCACCAACCTCTGATCCCACATCCCGGACATGTCGCTCACTCTCCGAGGTGCGATCTGAGTCCTGATCCTCTTTCGCCACCAAGTCTTCCAGTTTCCAAACACTCTCAGTTTTGCGCTCAGCTCCCCTGCCTTCCGGCCACGTCTGGTACTCTTCCGGCCCCGGACCCCAGCCACTTCCACGGCTTTTCCTCGATCCTCTATACACTTTCACCGACCCTTCTCTTAGCCCTGTGCCACCCCTCACCTTTCCTTCACTTTCACTGGCCTTCTTTCTTGTCACTTAATCGTTTCAGCTACTTACATAGGTTTCCCTTCTTTCTCTCAGATCCTTGCAGCACGCCTGTTACCAGCTTCTCACTACTTCCAGCCAGTCTCTTCCAAACCTCCCTTTGTCCCGTCTCTCTCCGAACAGTAAAGCCTACCCTTCTTCTCGCCCTCCTTACCCCCGCAGGCTCAGCTGAGCGTCTATCCCTGCGACCCCACGCCCCCCACCCTAGCCCAGCCCCCGGACCAGCCGGCTGCTCAGGGGCCTCTCCCAGTCCCGGTCCCCGCCCGGGCTGGTGGCCGCCGTTTCACAGGCTGCTCCTTCCCTCCCCCATCAGCCTGCCGGCTGCCCCGGCCAGCACATCCCGGTGCGCTTACTGAAGTCGAGCGACCCTCCTCATTCCTCCGCCCCCACCGCCTCTGCAGACACCCAAGGCGCCGCGGCCGGCCCACCCTCGCTTTCAGCCCAGGCTCAAATGGCAGCGCCAAACAGCGCTCCGCACTCTGATTGGTCCGCTCCTCTTTTCAAAATCAGGACCCCGGAGGGTGGCCAGGAGCTGCCTGTCCAGGGCGTTACCGGGTTACCGGCCGGGGGCGGGCGGCGGGGTGGGGCACGAAGGGTGCGGAGGGCAAAACTGAGAAACACGGAAAGAAAAATGGGTTCCACTTGCTCCTTCTTAGCCATAATTTATAGAGAAATACTGTCTATTGTGTATTTTAAAACACCTGGCCTGAACCTGAGATAATATATTTGGGGAAATGCAGTAGACACCTCACTCTCTCTCTCTTTTTTTTTAAGATCTCAGCGAAGGCTGAAGGCCCTTTTACGAAGAAACCGGTTCTACGGCACCGTAAGGGAGACCATTTGGTCGGGATTCGTCAAGGCTGATTTTAGTAACCCTAAGCCGGACTGTTTGGTGGAAACTTCGGCTTTGGGGAACTGGTCCATACTTCGGGGACTGATGATGACACCCAGATCTTTGCGTTTAGGTAGTTAAAATACAACAAAGAAGACCTGTCAAGAGAGAGTGGAGTGCGGGAGGAAAGTCTAGGGGAGGCGGCCGCTGCAAAAGCTTCATTCGGTGAGGTGTGGACTTAGACCGCGAAGGAGACTGGTTCCCGGCCTTCACGGTGCAGAGAGCGTGGTTTATCTTGTTGACAGACAAGACTGCACATACCCAGCCCTCGTCCCCGGGCTGCTTTTCCATTCTCAAACGTCAGCAGTCGCATCAGGGATTAAATATTCTTAGGGCTGGAGATTTGGACTCAAATACCACAGACAATACAGCATACGCCTACTACCACCCATGCCTCCGTCCCATGTAAACTTGGCAAGAGTAACAAAACAAAACAAAAAAAAAAAAAACCACACACACAAAAACAGAACTTTATCTGCCTTATCCATTTGTGTGCTTATTGCCAGAGGCCAAATGCGTCATTTGCCCGACTTGAAAGGGTTTAAATGGGGAACAGTTTTTTTTAGAAGCATTTTGTTCCTTTTTGGAGTTCAGGTACTTAGATAGTCTACCCTTTCCCATCTAAAGAGGATACCCTGAAATGGAAACAGACATGGCAGCCCCCTGCAGTATTCTCGCCTGGAGAATCCCATGGAAAGAAGAGCCCGGCGGGCTGCAGTCCATGGGGTCACAGAGACAGGACTGAAGCGACTGAGCATACACGAGCAGTTTGATACAGGATGAGTGAAACCAGACACGATTTTGGCCCTCCAAGGGAGGGAGCAGGAGAGACTATCAACCAAGTAATTATATGAACGGGGACATAATTATTAACTAGGAGACATGCCCTAAGGAAAGTAATATTCTATGATAGGGTACAATGAAAGATCCTTGATGGGGGAGGAGTGATGTAACAACGAACTGATCTGAAGAATCAGCAGAAATTAACTTAATAAAAAGTGAAGGTGGGATGGTGGACTGGGACTAGCATTCAGGAGACAAAAGCACTACAGAAAAAGCCATCAATTTTAACAGGACCAGTACATCAGAGGCTGTACTAAATGTATTTCTCCTCTTTTCTTGCTTCAGAAATAACTATAAAAAATTACTTACATGGTTTTTAGCCTCCTCCTTTACCCAAACTTCCCTTTGTTTTGGGGTTTAGGACCCACTGTATCTCTTTTTTTTTTCCCCACTGTATCTCTTGAATATTAATTTTTCTAACTGTATCTTAATGCTTTTTCTTTAAAGCTGAGCTCTTCGATTTTATGTTTTGTCCTTTCTCTTAAGATGAAAATACTAGTTCTTAATGTATTGACAATTATTTACTTGCTTTATTCATATTTATAAATACACACACATAAAAATATATATGTATAAGTAATACATATATATTAACAGAATAAGAATAGCAGTATTGCTAACATAAGACTGCTGAATGAAGTTTAAATTTGTGTGTGTGTTTTTTCCCTCCCTGTTAGTGTCCCACTGGAAATGTACAGCAAAAAACTGTGTTCTAAATGAGCTGAATATACATCTTCTCTTTGGTTATTATGAATGTACTATAGTTTATTCAGCCAGACCTTTATCGAGGTGGCTTTTCTTGTTACAGAGAATGGTTCTAGGGCATACCCATAATTGTGGTACAGGGCTTAATTGCTCTGCAATATGTGGGATCTTCCCCAACAAGGGATCGAACCCATGTCCCCTGCATCAGCAGGTGAATCTTTAACCACTAGGCCACCGGGGAAGTCCTGGGTTGCACTTTTAAGAACTAACCTTTATTGGACTATTTGCTTTGCTTATCTGTTGTCTGTTTAAACTGTAGTTAAAATAATCAACCTCTTCCCTTAATGAGACTCTGAATGATAGGTAGGAATGTTTTTCCCACTCCCAACTTATAAAAGAATTCATTTATTCTTTTTTAAAATATATCAGTATGGCTTCATTTTTAAAAAATTTATATCTCTGATCCATTTGGAATTTATCCATTGGAGAATAAAGGATGGCTCATGCTTTATCTTTTTCCATATGGCTAATCATCCCTAGACATTTTATCTCACTTCAGCAAACCCCCACACCTACCTCTAGGAGTAGCAAGACACTACTACTGAATGCCCCATAGAGTACCTTGACTAGACCATTAGGCTTTGCCTTTATCTATTTGTTTTTAATTTTGCCTGTGCCCCGCAGTTGGTGGGGATCTTAATTCCCCAATCAGGGATTGAACCCCAGGTCCCTAGAGTCCCAACCACGAGACAGCAAGGGAATTCCCTCGACTTTGCTTCTAGTTAGCGCCACTAGGCAGCACACATCTTTTTCTTTAGCTATCCCACTTAGCTCTCTTTTCTGTGAAATTAATCAAGTGTCTCCCAAAGCTCTTCCCTACATTTTCTTCTTGCACCCCTGCTTGGGAGAAGGTGACTTGAGTAGCTTTCCAAATCAGATCCAAAGATATTCTCTGTAAAGCCAAAGTGATTGGCATTGAAATCGTTGTCTTCAAGGCCTGGCACATTGCAGAGACATGATTTCACTGATTAATAAAACCAAAACATTTGGGAGATGTCTAAAATTTAGCTTGAAAAACAGAAAATAATATAGTGATTTTCTCAGGTCACTGGAGTTCTCACCAGAATAATGGCACAGCGAGGCTTCACCTGCATCACCCTCCAAGGCGGAGGTGCTTGCTCTTTTTTGCTTACCGGAGTATTGGCTACAGACGGCTCACAGCCAAGTCCCTCTGAGGGTGGAGAATTGCTCTCACAGAAGGGAGCTGCCTCACCCCAGGTGATGCCTCCTCCGGGGGGCAGTCTGTGCCATGTCTGGTCCATGTCGGGGGACATAGACCTGTCCCTTACCTCAGTTCAGGACAACTGAAGGGCCTCCCAACCCTAGAAAGTCTTACAGGATGAGTTGAGGCCTATGTGGCAACTGTATCACAACTCAGCCTTTCCATCTGTCCATCTGTCCTGCTTTCCAAACTCGTTTGCTCTTGCTGTTCCAAGAGTTTGCCCCAGTAAGCCTCCTGCTCACAAACCTCAGTGCCTGTTATTCAGGCAGCCCAACTTAAGGCATAGGGTTGATGCTTTCCCTAATCAGCGCTCTCAGCCAGAGCCTTGCTACCAAAATGCAGTCCATGAATCAGCACCACTGCTATCACCATGGAAAAGTTAGAAAAGAAGTAACTCAGGCCTCCCTCCAGATCTACTGAATCAGAATCTGCCTTTTTATAATGTTTCCAGATGAGTTATCTGTACACTAAAGTTTAAGAAACTCTGGACTAGGCTCAAAGGAAAATGGTCTGAACTCATAAATATTTCTGACTGTGAGTTATTAGGTGGGAAAACCCAACAAAATGTTTTGTTGTATGTTATATCATGCAAATAGAATAGAGAGTAAATGTTATCTGACTACTCAGTTTTAGGTCTTTTAGTCTCAGGTCACAGGGTTTCTTTTGCCTTTTGAGGTTGACTTATGTGGTGTTCTGATATCCAAAAAAATAGTCGAGGACTTGTGACAACTCTGAAATGACAGACAAAAGGTGTCAAACATAGAATAATAGCCTTCCGAGACTCGTGAGTGGAAGAGACACTTGCAAATTTCTGTTCTGTTCTAGAGCAAGAAATTCAAGCTGGTTTTTTTACAGTGCTGTGAGGGAAGGTAGGAAAAATGGAATGGAAAAAGAAAATGATAGATAAGCCAAAATGATTACATAAAACTGTAAGTACAGAAAAGCTTAAGAATTTTTCTGTCTTTCACAAAACTACAAAGTGGACAGTTTAATAGTGACTTCAACCACAA